AGTTCTTTTTTCCCTACAGTAGTAAACATCTAAGTCATTTCTGCTAATTTGCTTAACACAGTTTAAAAATTGTATCATTTGGGAAATTCAAGAACTACTCCATTGTAAAAAAAACAAAAAAGAAAGAAAGAAAAGGAGCTAATGAAGTCCCAAGAACAAGACAAGTTAAGTATTCTGATTCTTACAAAGTAAATTTGTAAGAATTTTTTATCTAAAGATATTTAGATAAAAAATATTTTTACAGGACACTTCTCAGTAGCTTACATACGAGATCTCCATTTGGATGTCATGTTTGCTTTTATAAAACATGAGGATAAAAGGGAACCATCTTTTACAAATAGAGTCACAAACTCTTGATGTTCAGGACCAGCAATACCACTTCTGAAATTTTCCCCACAAATGTGAAAAAATAATTTTGTGGGTCAGCATACATAGCAAAGTATGTAGTTATTTTGAAATAACACCCACAAAAATTAGAAACAATTTAAATGTCCACCAATAGAGAACTGGTTTAATATTATGGTATGGATGTATGGTGGCATACTATGTCACTGCTGTTAAAAAATGGGCAACTCTCTATGTACAGAATTTCCAGGATACACTGATAAATGATACAAATAACACTCAGTAAAGTGTGTATAGTATTTTCATATTTGTGTATAAGAAAAGAGTACATGTATATGCTTATAAATTCATAGACTATTTCTGAGAAACATGGAAGATAATAGGCATTGCTTTAAGGGAGAGGAAATGGACCCAGGAACAAAGGAGAATTTGGGGGAGGGGGTTAAATTATATTTTCAAATTATAAGTTATATTTTTAAATTATATTTATTGGGATGGCATTGGTGTACAATTCTATGATACATTATCTGTATACTGTATTATGTTCCCACCACCCAGAGTCAAATCTTCGTCCATCACCATATATTTTATTCCCTTTACCTTTTATTAACCCCCACTTCCTCTGGTAACTACATACTGTTGTCTGTGTCTATGAGTTTTTATTTGTTTTTTTATCTTGTTTGTTCATTTGTTGTTTTCAGTTTTATATCCCACATATAAATGAAATATGATTCTTGACATTTTCTGTCTGACATTTCCCTTGGCATGATAATCTCAAGACACATCCACATTGTCGCAAATGGCAGTATTTGATCTTTCCTTATGGCTGAGTAGTATTCCATTGTATATATATGTACCACATCTTCTTTATCCAATCTTCTATCAAAGGACACTTTAGGATAACTGTATGACCCAGCAATGCCATTCCTGGATGTATACTCAAAAAGACTAAAAACAGGGACTCAGATACTGTATGCAAACATTCATTGCAGCGTTATTCACAATATCCAAAAGGTGGAAACAACCCAAGTGCCTATCAACAGATGACTGGATAAACAAAATGTGGTTTATACATATAATGGAATATTATTCAGCCATAAGAGGGAAGGAAATTTTAACACATGATACAACATCGATGAAACTTGAGGACATTATGCTAAGTGAAATAAGTCAGACACAAAAGGACAAATGTTGTATGATTCCACTTAGATGAAATACCTAGAATAGTCAAATCCATAGAGAGAGAAAGGTTACCAGGAGTTGCAGAGAGGGGAAGTAGGGGAGTTATTGCTTAATTATCACAGATTTTCTTTCTGGGGTCATGAAAGTTTTGGAAATAGATATTGTCAACAATGGTCATTGGTACTAATTCAACACTAACAGGAATCTCCAATTTGGGGTGCAGTGGAGAAGGAAACTCTATTCAGTGCAAAACAGCTCAACTGTGACACAGCACAGCTGTGAAAACACCAAGGTTATAGAACAGCTCAGTTGTGACGCAGCACGGCCATGAGGTGGCCTTGGGGCCAGGCGGCTTTAGGGCCAGGCCTTCTCCAGCCGCACAGCTCTGCTCTGCTCTTTGCACATCTGCTTTGCACTGCACTGTGCTTTGTCTGCTCTGTGCTACACCAGTCTCCTCTGCTTTCCTCTGCCAGGGCATCTTCAGTGTTTCAGCTCAGCCGGGAAATGCAGTCTTCAGTCTTTGGAAAGGGAAAGTGAGCTCTTGAAGCCAGAGAGGAGCTGGCTTATATGGACAGAAGTCCTGCCTCTGGTACCTGATTGGCCAGTCCTCATGCAAACAAGGACTGTAAATCCTTGTTTGCATGAGGACAGTTTGATTGGTCCAAAGCACTGTCCTGATTGGCCAGAATAGAGCTGCTCTGGTTGGTCAGAGCTGTGCATCTCTGACTGGATGTGGAAAGCCTCAGTCCTATTGTTTGATATAGCATTTCAGGAAATTCTTTATAAGGGCTGGCTCAGAGGGCAGAAAACAGTGCAGGCAGGCAGTCTAGCGCAGGCTTCTCCCTGAAGTGCAGTTTCCGTGAAAGGCCTCCGTGCAGAAGTGGCTGCTAGGGTTTGTATTTTTTCAATTTGAGCCAAGCTAGCCACCAGGAGTCCTTCTTACTAGGTGTCTTCTTTCTCAGGGTTCACAGTATCATGATGGTTGCATAACATATGAATGTAATTCATACCACTGAATAGTACACTTAAAAATGGTTAAAAAGGCAATACATATATATATATATACAAAATTAAAGTAAAATGTACTGTAATTTAAAGAAAAATTACCTGTTCAGCTTAACCTTTATTCCCCAGAAACATTCTTACAGCCTGACCTCATCTTTCCAAGAAAATAGTGCCAAATGCATACCGTGTGCCAGGATTTCCACTGGACACTGCCAGAAATCCTATATAATAAAAGCCTAATATGCTAAGTGTCTGGTCATCCGGTCATCCAGTCAACCAATCAAAGCATAATATGCTAATGACATGCTAAGACTGCTCAACTGCTCGCTATGATGTGCACTGACCACCAGGGGGTAAACGCTCCGACCGGAAGGTTAGCTTGCTGCTGGGGTCTGGCTGATCGGGACTTAGTGAGGCGGGCTGGACACGCCCTGGAGCCCTCCCGAAGTCCCTCCCCAGCTGGCCAACCTCCCACATCCCTCCTGGCCCTGATCATGCACCGGTGGTGTCCCTTGGCCTGGCCTGTCCCCTCTCGCAATCTGGGACCCCTCAGTGGATGTCAGAGAGCCAGTTTCAGCCTGATCCCACAGGCCAGGCCAAGGGACCCACTGGTGCACGAATTCGTGCACTGAGCCTCTAGTAGAAAGATATGTGGACATACGTCCTGTATTTCAAAAGAGCTTATCACATGGCCTAGGCAGCAGACATTTGTGTCACTATTTTGTAAGGCCAGAGGGGCGAGTAGACGTTCTGGCTTTGTGCCATGGAAGTACAGAGGTGGGAGCAAACCTATTTTGATTGGAAGATTCAGGATGGCTTGACCAAGGAAGGAGCCTTTCAGCTGCCCTGGAAGAAGTGGCATTCCGAGAGCTGGAGAAGGGAATTCCAAACTGAGGGAGCAGATGAGCCAGCCCTCCTTAGTAGGGAGGTGCACCCCTGAGCAAAGGGACGGTGGGTCTGGGCAGATCAGACCGAAGCTGATTCTGAAAGGCAGTTGAAGCCTGATGGTGTCCATTTTTAAGTGTCCAGTTTTAATTGATTTGGACTTTTCAATACTGTCTCTGGGGAAATAGCTTATGTATTCTTTCTGTTCTTTTCCACTACCCTATTCACCATTTAGGGATGCGAGCCTCTTACCCTTATCAGAGAGAGAACTTGAACAGTTTAACATTTTGTTAATGGTTTATTTTCCACCTCAAACTATGTTTGCCATCTAGTGATTAGTCCATGCCATTACAACAACCATTCCAAATTCCTGGTTTCTCAGCACCAGTTAAGCCTTCAGACTTCTGTTGGCTATCACTTCTATCTGAACTTCACTTACCACATGTCCTGCCACATACATTGACATTTAGAGACATCAGTAATGAAATCTGACCCCTCAAGAGGAGTGATAATATTCACATGAAAGAAAATGCAGTTGTTTAGGAGAAATGAATGTTAGAAATTATTATGAAAAGTTGAAGTAGGATCTGATTTGAAAGTTAGGCAGTAGCAGCACCTTTGTGTGACTATAGACACTGAGATACGCGGCTGAAAGTTCAACCACATTGGGTTCCACAGTCATTCCCGGGCTTTCTCTTCTTCGCGTGTCTCTTCCAAATGGGGACAAAGACTTTTAACAACTTTGCCTCCAAATGGGGGATTCCTGTTTGAACATACTTCTCCAAATTTCTGACTTTCTGACTGTAGATCAAAGTAAGGAGCCGCACATTCTTCTATTTGTGACATCACTGAGTAGCTAAGACTACCCAACAGCATTTCTTTTAAAGGCTGTCGTTAATCAGTTGGGAGAATGGGCCAAAAAAAATACTGTGTTATATATGCAGGGGATTTAAAATCATCAATCACCCAGAATTCTTGAAGGACCCAGGGAAACATTTAGCCTCTAAACCAGAGCTTTCAGAGCTGAGTTAGTTTCTAAACAATGATGACTTCTGCATCGTTGGAAATTAGTCTAGAAGGTCCAGTATGTCTTTTTGCTCTAGAGATCTAAGCTATGGGAAATCATTTACTCAACAGCTATTAACTGAATGCCTATTTGCCAGTCTCTGAGCTAGAATATAACTATAGATATAACATGTTACACACAAAATTATTATGAAAGTCTTTTTGAAAATTTTGTTATAGCCTCTCTCCACCCTTCCCGCTCCCCGCATCTTCCATGGGATCCAAGCAAGGCTTTCTTGCAGTGAATTTTGAACTAGGAGGATTATGCTATGGGTACAATTCCCACTTTACTGCCAAGGTCACTTATTTTTCAGTTTGTTATGAACTGTTAGCCTGGAAAATAGCTTCTGGCCTCCAATCCAAAAGCAGCCCTGAAGCCCTGAGATGGGATAGAATGCACTGTAGGAAGCCATCAGCTCAGTCTCTAAAACCATGTGAGAGGCTTGGCTGGCATTTTAAACTGTTACTGTATGTATCTTGTTGTTGTTGTTGAATCTGTCTGCCTCTGATTTTTGCAGGGAAGGCCGGAGATACCGGGTGTATGTTGTGATACCGCTTCTGCCAGGGTTTGAAGGAGACATTAAAACGGGCGGAGGAAACGCTCTCCAGGCGATAATGCACTTCAACTTCAGGTGCCAGAATCCTAGTGTGTTCTGTTTTCAGCTTTCAATCAGCCGTGCCCATAAGCTGGTGAAAGGAATGGAAATGTTTGTCCACATTTATTCAGTGGGGTGTTGAACAAATGAACACTTTTCTTTTTTTACTCTGAATCTTGGCCTGTTTACTAGTTGGTAAAATTCAAGTAGAACCTAAAATCATAAAGGGTAGGCCTACAACACATGGCAAGTATAAAAAAACTAAAATATTAGTCTCGTTTATATTTGTTGCCTAGTATATATGTACATATAATACTTATTATATATATAAAATATATAGTATACATATTGTAAATATAAAATAATGTATAATAAATATTACATATAAATACAATGTAAAATATAAAACATATGGAGTTATTGTCTCCATTTATAATATACATATTTATATATACTAAAGAACTAAAATATCAGTCTCCTTTATATTCACAAATATTTTATATGTATATATTTATGCATAATAAATATACATATAGAGACAAGGACTTTATATATTATATAAAATATATGTATAAAAATATATGTACCTATTGATTTTTAAATTATTTTTAAAGCTACCAAATTAGTTATTGAATTTTCTATATTCTTTGCAGTTATATAGAAAAAATGCTTAAAATGCTATGATTTGTGCAAGTTTGTTTATGATTTTCTAGGTAGTAAATCCTTCAACAAGGTTGTAATAATAGTCTCTGCTAGAAGCATGAAGGTTCTTTCCTAGCTCCTGAAATTTTAATTCTTTTTCTCTACCACTTCTTAGCTAAAATTATAGGGAAAGTGGTTAAGTTCTATTCTTGATATTCTAAAAAGCAGTGAATAGGCACTGCTCAAAAAGACACTTGAGCCCTGGCTGGTTTGGCTCAGTGGATGGAGCGTTGGCCTACGGACTGAAGGGTCCTGGGTTCGATTCTGGTCGAGGGCACATGCCTGGGTTGTGGGCTCAATCCCCAGTGGGGGACATGCAGGAGGCAGCCAATCAATGATTCTCTCTCATCATTGATGTTTCTATCTCTCTCTCCCTCTCCCTTTCTCTCTGAAACCAATAAAAATATATTTTTTTTAAAAAGAGGCACTTGAGGCTTCAGCTTTGGCCAGTGGACCATCATGAAGAGGGTTGAGGGGGACTAGCTGGTGGACAGGTGGGGAGCGGCGGTTTCTCTCTGGGTCACGTAGCTGGGAAAGAGAATAGGAGTGAAGAGGCAGGTGGACAGCCTGGGCATGGCTCCAGGTCCCAGCTAGAAGCTCTGTAACCTGAGATACAAAAGAATCCTACTCAAGATCCCACTTTTAATAACACAAAGCAAAGAACAGAACCTGGGTATTTTCTTTTAATATCCCTTGTTTTCCAAAGCGCCTGTAGTCGACCACTTTTATAATCAAACCTTTTTTAGAGGACAAAGGAGACCTCACAGAACCCCCAGTATATGGAGCAAAAAAGGGTTTGGAGCCTTCATCAAATTAGGGGTAGGGGCTTAGATGCCTTGCTACTGGTTCCCCCTTCCTAGTGGAACCCCCTGTAGGATCCGAGGGTCTTCTGTGCACAGTTTGAGTGCCCCATTGTGGTGGAAATATATATATTTTTTAATCTTCTTATTTTATTCAGACTTTTCAAGCTTCTGTCTGTCTGCTGGTGTTTCAAGTAAAGATTTTTTTTTGGTTTGTCTCTTCTTGAGGAATTTTGTCTGGTTACAGTATGAGAGAACTTTAACTGCGGTTTGGTCTATACACTCAGATTGAAGATTTGCCCATTTCTACTATTATCTGATTTATAACATGACAAACAAAGCTTTTCAAGTATTTAAGGCCCTGACATAATGTTTAATCAGCTATTAACCACCCTATTTGCCATTCTAATGTTATTTTTGGAATATTGTCAATTGTAATTATTTTTGGGGATTATTTTCTTGGGTTTGAACCAGCTGAATAAAATAACATGCTTGGCTTTTGTTCAGCAACTAAAACTATAACCTTTTATTATGCAAAACATCTCTATTTGCTGGCATCATCTTTAATAATATCAGCATTTCCCAGGCATAACTGTATTTTTAATTACTTTCATAAAGCAAGCAGATGGAGCATGGGATTTTTTGTTTTGTCAGTCTTTACAATTCATAGACTGTTATCAGAGTCTTGAGAAACAAAATCATTAATAGTCAGTTATTTGAGACTATATTTTTCACTTTTAAGGGGTTTGCCAACTTTACAGAGAGCACAAGTATAATAGTTTCTTTAATTATAAAATTATTCTGCTAAAATTTTGCCCTTTTTACCCCTGAAAGCAATGTGATTGTGTAAGTATTCTTATCTATTGAGGCATTCTAAATTTATCTTCACTGTCAACAAATTGTCTAAAAAGGAAAATTCATTCATAATCCATCTTTTAAAAATAACATCTTTCTGAAATAAATTTTATAATTTTTCCTTTTACCCACCTCAAAACAACTACCTTGTTCCATCAGTAGCATTACAAAAGTGGTAGTTATTGTTTTCATGTTTTAGATTTTTTAAAAAAATCTATGTAGCATCTTTTCTCAAAAGCACTTGTTCTGTTTTTACCTGGATTAGGACTAAATCCTGCAAATTGGGATTAGTTCCTTTGCAACCTCCATAATGATTTCCTTTCTTTACATATTTTTAGGACCATGTGCAGAGGAGAAAATTCCATCCTTGGACAGTTAAAAGTAGAGCGTAAGTAACTGCTTTTCTTTTCCTCCATGGCTGTTTTGGCAACGTACCAATAATCATTAATATTTTCATAGTGTGATTGTAGAACTCTCTTTACAAAAGGTATCCCATGCAATACTTAACAGATATCAATTTATTCTCATTAAATTGTCCAAACCAATGACTTGAGATGCATAGGTAATAAAGATGAGAATATCTTATAATGTATTTTATTATTTATATTTATTTGTAATAACTGTTTTGATAATAAGTGGGATTTGTAAAGCACTTCACAAGATCTTGCATATATCTTCTCCTATGATCCTTCACCCCAGTCCTAGGTAGTAAGCAGGACAGATGTCATCCCTGCATTAAAGATGAGAATATAATGCTACAAGGTTAACAGGTATTCATGTGGCCTCCTATAAATGTAGAAATTCCAGGCTCTAAATTTTTGAGGACATTATACTGGAGGTAAATAAGAAAAAAACACAGTAATACCTTTCACTTATTTTAATCCTTCATATTTTCAAAGGCACTTTCTCAGATACCTTCTTAAATAATCCTTTTACGTAGTTCTTAACTACAATATATTGTAACCAAGGGTTTGCTTATCTATATCTCTGTGAACTGACTCTAACTTCAGCACATAATAGGTGCTCAATAATGTTATATGCCCTATACAATAGAAAGTTTCAAAAGTTTCAACAAGAAATAAACTGGAGTCCGAACTCAAATGGTCTGACCTTCAGTTCAGATTGGGTCTAGATTGTGAAAAGTTGAAGGTTCACATTAAAAAGACTAGATTTTATCCAGAAGGAGATAAAACGAGGTTGATGGAAGCCTCTGATTCCTGGAGTGAACTCACCTAAGTGGTGTTTGTATGAATATTCACTTACTCTTGGTAAGCAAAGTAGAGAGAGACATGGCAGGTGAGAGATAATGACACATTGGTAATGGATAGAAGGTTATGTATGAATAAGACTGTGAAGGAAGACTTGAGGGGATATAGGAGCAGAGAGTAAGAGAAGTATCAGATAATCTAAGAGCTTCAATCCAACTGGCCAGGAGAATGGAGCTGCCACAGGGAGGTCTGAAAAAGACAGGAGGGGCCATCACAATAATGTGATGACAAGTGGCATGACTTTCAGATATTCCAATAAACTCAAATTTTTGAAGATTGTATGTACTAGATAATGTATCAGAATGTGGGGAGAAAATATTAGTCCTTTCATGTATGTATATTTTTCTCTTAAAGAATTAGGATATCACTAGGAATGGCATAGTAAGGATTTCCAAAAACTCACTCCTGCATAAAAATAACAAAAACACTACAAAAAATAGTTCAAGTCATCTTTTTCAGATCTCTGGAAATTAACCAAAGGCATGTGACAATCTGAAGAGTATTTATTCCAGAAAGATAGCAGAATCTTAATAAATGCAGCAAGATTTGTGGCATTTTGATTTTCCATGTACCCATCCCCCTCTCCTCATTTCCACACTAGCCATGAAAGCCAACTTATCACTATGAAACCTAGCAGCTTAGCCACCACTGGAAGGAGCCAAATGGGTTTGAAGCTCCTGAATTCTGACAATTCTGAGAATTGTCATAATTTGACCTGTCTGACAGTTTGAAAGTCATTAAAACAACTAGTTTAACTATGTTCAAAGAACTAAAGGAAATGATATGTAAAGAACTAAAGGAAGTATAAAAGCAAAATCTTCTCAATTAGAGACTATGGAAAAGGAGAATTTTTAAATTAAAATGTTTCCATAAAAGTCTTTTAGAAAAAGAAGTAATGACATACAGGGTGGAGCAAAAGTAATAATGCAAGACTAAACTCTGCATTTCATGTGCTCACAACTATAAACCTACTTTTTCCCATCCCTGTATAAATTTTGAAGTTGAAAAGTATAATAACCAAAATAAAATGCACATTAGAGGGGCTCAGTAGTAGATCAGAGCAAGCAGAAGAATCAACAAACTTGATGATAGGTTCATTGAGAGTATTCAGTCTGATGGGACAGAAAAGAAAAATAATGGAGAAAAATGTATAGAGCCTTAGGGACCTGTAAAACATCACGAAGCACACCAGCATAATGGGAGTCCCAGAAGGAGAAGAAAGAGAAAAAACTGCAGATAGAATATTTAAAGAAATAACAACTGAAAACTTCCCCCAAAACATGAATCTACACATCCAAGAAGCTCAACAAAATCTAAGTAAGATGACTTTAAAGAGATCTACACCAAAACAATCATAATCAAAATAGTGAAAGACAAAGATAAAAAGAGAATCTTGAAAGCAGCAAAGGTGAAGCAAATAATCAGTAAGATTAATAACCAATTTCTGATCAGAAACCATTCTGTCATTTTTTATAATGTCCTTTATAACAAAAAATGTTTATTTTTGATGAAATTTATCCATTTTTATGGTTTTTGTTTTTGGTGTACAATCCAAGCAACCATTGCTGAGTCCATTATGGAAGAAAATGTTTGTAAATCATATATCTAGTAAGGAATTGGTATCCTGAATATATAAAGAACATTTAGAAGTCAACAATAAAAAGAATAATTCAATTTTAAAATGGGCTAAGGATCTAAGTAGACATTTCTCCAAAGAAGATATATGAATGGTCAATAATCACATGAAAAGATGCTCAACATCATTAGTCATTAGGGAAATTCAAATAAAAACCACAAGATACAACTTCATACCCACCAGAATGGCTATAATTTAAAAAATAAAAAAGTCATTGAAAGAATATGGAGATATTAGAACCCTCATATGGTACGTTACTGTTGGGAATTCAAAACTGTTCAATCTCTTTGGGAAGTAGTTTGATAATTCTTCAAAAATTAAAAAGAGAGTTACCATATAATCCAGCAATTCTGCCGCATAGTACATACCCTAGAGAGTGGAAAACATATGTCCACACAAAACTTGTATTTGAATGTTTATAGCATCATTATTTATAATAGCCCAAAAGTGGAAGCAACATAATATCCATTAGTTGATGAATGTAAAAAGAAAATGTGTTTATCCATACAATGGAATATTATTTAGATATAAAAAGGAATATACTGATACATGCTACAACATGCATGAACCTTGAAAATATTATGCTAAGTGAAAATAAACCAGACACAAAAGACCAAAGGCCACATATTTTATAATTCCATTGTTTATGAAAAATTTTAACAGACAGTAAAGTAAATTAGTCATTTCCAAGGTCTGGGGAGAGAATGGAATGGAGAGTGACTCCTAATAAGTATGGTTTCTTTTGGGGGTAATAAAAATGTCTTAAGATTAGATGGTGGTGATAGTGTATAGCATCTCAATATACTTTTAAAAACACTGATTTGTATACTTTAAAAGCTGCATTTTATGACCCATGATATTTTAAATGATTTGGAAGCTTTAAAATAATAAATTAAACTTTTAGTGTGTGTGTTCAGTGTTCAATAATTTTTCACTAATGGTCTGCTCAGTCTAAAAAACTTTAGAAACAATCTTTGACATAGACATGCACATCACCAATAATAAATACTTTCCAAAGTTGTATCTAATTGCATCCAGGTCAGAGAAGATTTACCAGAGCATTATCCCTAAACTCAATTTTCTAGTGGCTCAAAATGAAGATGATAGTGAATGAGTAAGTTTAAAAGATACACTGATAAAACCAGGAGAACCACTCAGTGCTGACCATGGCTAGTAAAATGCAAAAGTGAGGTTATCCGCCAAAACCGGTTTGGCTCAGTGGATAGAGCATCGGCCTGCGGACTGAGGGGTCCGAGGTTCGATTTCAGTCAAGGGCATGTACCTGGGTTGCGGGCACATCCCCAGTAGGAGATGTGTAGGAGGCGGCTCATTTATGTTTCTCTCCCATCGATGTTTCTAACTCTCTATCTCTCTCCCTTCCTCTCTGTAAAAAATCAATAAAATATATTTTTTTAAAAAGTGAGGTTATCCTATCTAATAATAGACAAACATGGTAATTGACCATACCTTCGCTACGCCTCCCATTGGCTAATCAGCGTGATATGCAAATTAACCACCAACAATGATGGTGGCTAATTTGCATACTGCAGGCAGGCGGGATGGTGCTGTCC